GACAGGCACAAACTGTGCTACAGCAGGTCTAAAGTTTCACAACTTTGGGAAAGCTAAAATTTTCAAGATGACTTATTTAATTTACAGTAGCTGACCAATTTACAAATATTTACACAAAATCAAAACAAAAGCCCAGCTTGCTGCAGCAGGAGGGAGTGTTTGTTTGCAGACATCACTAATACTACAAATATGTAAAAGGAAGCACGAAAAGGTATCTGGACAATTCTGTGCAAATATATTTACATATATTGATTTGCCATTTTTTATTTCAACTTCTTTGTAGTAGATCTGCTGCTTGAAAATTCTAGTTTAGATTACAGTTCCTGGTATCCAGAACGCTGTCGAATATAATCTGGTTTAATTTTCATAAACTGTTGCTTGTTGTTCCATGTAAGAAGCAAATTGAATTGGAAGGTGCCAAGTTGAGCAAAAGCGCATACTGCGTTAAGCAGATGGAAAGCCCAGGCTGTATGTTCATTAAAGTGTGTACTGTGTGCAGTGCCTTAAGGATATAGTTGGGCTAGTACATTGCTTAGCTCTGAATTCCTTTATTTCATGGTTAAGTGTGTCTGAATTAATGATTACACATATTATGGAAGCAACAAGTCAATATATTCCAATACTTTCCTTAAAATAGTTTTGGGTAGCTGTGGGCTGCTTTTTGAATGACATCAGTCTCTTCTAGAAGTCAACAATGCAAGCATTTTCAGAAAACATATCTTGAAAGTGAAGCTGTATTAACAAATGTCAATAATAAAATATGCAATCTGTCTTATAAAGATTTTCTTAACAAAAGTTTAAAGAGAAAAATACATCATAAAAAACAATGGGGTAACTGCATCGATTTTGATACTGTTCTTTATTTCAGTAGGATCCAATAAGGAGGAAATGAAAAAATTTGATTATCTTTTCTGTATGGTTGTTCTTAAAGGTAATATACAGTTCAAGTCTTTCTTGTCTCGTAATATCTGCCAAGACTGGGGAAAAAAGTACAAGGTTTTAAAAGGCTAAATCATCTTCTGTGCCATTAATACTTAAACACCATTGTAAGCATTAAACCCCAAAGATCTACAAGAAATAAAAAGGTTGGCACTTTTTCTCTCTAGAAAAGAGATGTCTGTCTTAGGGAGGAAGAATTTAAAGATGCACAAAATGTAATGAACCATTGGGAAATATATGTCTATCCAGGAAGAGAGAGTATTTGTGAAGATAGAGATGTTAACATTCTTTATGTTAAGAATGATCATATCTTAACATTGATATTCTGACTGAAAAATGATTGTCTCAAATATACACATGCGGAAATGCCTGATATAAGAACTTATCCTCTGATATCTCCAGAGCTTATAAGTAGGTCTTTAAAATAGGTTATTTCCACTTCTTTCTGTATTCTGTCCTGGATTCCAGGACAACTCTGTCATATCTGTTAGGCCATGAACCTGCAAATAATTGCACCAAACCTCCTTTCTTTATGCAGAGCCTATTTTAACCACAGTGCATAATGAAACTCCATCTCGATGACAATAAGACAAATAGATTCCTCAGTGTTTTTTTTTTTTTTTTAAAAAAAAAAGGAGGGTGGGCACATAAGCAGACATTCATAAGTACATTGACTACCTTTCACATATGTAACACGTATCTTGAATACCAAATTGACTGGAAAAATTAAACTGGATGCAATTTTTACCTTCATAAATTCATCTTTGATAATGTCAAACTTCTGTTTTTCATGTACAGCTCTAGCTGTGTTCGTCCCATCAAAAGGCTCTGCAAGATCAAACACAAACATTAAAAGTGTTAAGAACACTAGTGTTAGGCTGTCTTCACTGAGCAAGCAATCAGGAAAAAAACAAACAAAAAAATAAAAAAAACACCCACAAAAAACACAGAGGAGTTAACATATCATTACATCCCAAGAGGGTTTTAAGCACCTGAGTCCACTTTGCTTTTGCATTTCTCTGTATACATATTATTCATTCCTCCCATCAAACACTCTAATATTATATAATTCACAATAAAAATCAGACTATTATTTCTAAAAGTACACCACAGCTGTGCTGAATTCATGAATCTGTAATTATTTGTGATGGTTTAATGATTTGTTCTGACCTACAGAATATGATTTGGCATAATAAAATGTTTTGGAACTTACTGCACATATCCGTCCTTGGAACTGTTCACTTTAGATTCATGTCATTCAATAATCAGTGAAATACAAGAATTACAGTAAAATATTCACAACTTTTTACATAAAAGAGTATTAACTAGTTATAAAATACATATTTTATTACTTATGAATAGATGAAGTAGAATAGATTTTAAGTAGACAACTTGAGGCTTCCTTCTTGTTTCCAGACTAATAATTTATATGATGCTTACCATTTTTTTTGCCAGCAAAATCAGTTAGGTGGACAGATTTTATTTTTTTTTATTAAATATATTGACAGATTTAAAAGTACTCCTTGTTACTGAGATGGTTGTCTACCTTACAGTAAATAAGCCAATACTAAAGAACTGAGATGCAAAGACTATGTGTTGCAACACATTGCAAACAGATTTTATACAGTTTATTTCCTTGCCTTATTAGAGAAATGCTAAATAAATGTGGCATATTTTAGACTGGCAGAATGCCTGAAAAGATCCTAGAATCCAGGGAATGACAGAAGTCTTTGTTATATCAGGTAACATTTATATTGAGTTGGTTATGAATTGGTTGGAATATTCACACATCAGAAGTGATTTTGACATTATGGAGACTGGGGCTTTAAATCTGGAAAATGTTCCATGACATTGGGTTTTTAATATGAAAGCTATTTAAGCTCTCAATCAGGGAGATTGTTCCAAGCAATAAAAGTTGCATTTAGCATATTCCTAGAAGGTTTTTCTTTAAACTACCTACAAAGTATTTGAATGGATGTTTACACACAGATTTATCTTAATCTAGACTACATCGTATAGTGCAACATCATACTGGATCACAACACTGGCAAGCAAATAATTAAAAAAAAGTATCTAGTTCTCTCATTCTAGTCACACAATTTGATACAGTGACAGGCACATAATTTGATACGGTTAAAAGAATTACACGTGAAGTAGAGCACTTCTGCATTTTCTACATTTCATGTTTCTTTAATGCTAGGATGTTTATGTATTTAATCTTGTATCAAATAAATGTTTTTAAAAAGTAACAAGAGCAAAGCTGTACCATCTTCTAAAACTGACAGCTACAAAAGCTGACTCGCATCTTCCGTTTACTGCATATTTACTAAGTCTCTAAAGACATTCATTCCCTGAGACACAGCAAGAATTTTGCTATCAGCAACTATTTACACCGCTAAAATTTTTTAAGCATGAAGGCAGTGAGAATCCTTCATTAGGGAGTTTGTCAACAGTTTTAGAGGAAAAGTTTTTCAACTTCAACACTATGATACCTGAGGAAAAGGGATCACATCCCCAAATAAAAATACAAGAAACCATAAAAATTCAAAGCAAGCTTTGAAAAATTATTTTTAGAAATGAAAATGTGTATTAAATTCTCATGGAGATGAAAGATTTATAAATACAGACATGAATCAGGCACAGCAAATGACTGTCAATTAATTGTCTTACAAAATTGCCAAATTCATAGAATCATAGAATGCTTAAGGTTGGAAGGGACCTCTAGAGGTCATCTAGTCCAACCCCCCTGCACACGCAGGGTCACCTAGAGCACGTGGCACAGGACTGCGTCCAAGCAGGTTTGGAAGATCTCCAGAGAAGGAGACTCCACAACCTCTCT